CCTCCTCTCCCAGTCCAAGGTGTCCAAGTTCTCTCCAGCTGCTGGGATGGTGGYAGGAGGATCCCAGGAGCCTCAGAGCCCTTCCCGCTGCCTCGGGCTGCCCCGGGATTCGGATTCGGACAAGGAGGACACTCTGGAGCTGCTCCCAGGTCGTTATTCCACAACCAAGAGCTGTTGGAGTCTTCCAGGAGCTCTCAGGAGCTTCGCTGTCCCTTATGGACACAACATCCCGAGGCTCCAGCTCCGGCTGCTCCAAGTGCCTCCAGGATGATTTCACTGAAATAAAGAGATTTCTCCCCAGACTGAGGCTGCAGGATCTCCCTGCTGGGACAACCAGGATGGAAACATTCCAATTCCAAGGGCTCAGCAGGATGCTGGTCCTGTGCCTCCAGCTGAGCACGTGGACAGGGAAGGCCTGGATCCCAAAAGCTTGGGAGCAGTGATGTCACCCAGGGGATCAAAGGCACCGGGAGGGCTCCTTCCCAGCTCCATCCATCCCACCTCCTCCCAGGCAGGTCCAACACAAACAGGATGACTCTTCCCTGAGCCACCCTTCCCAGGCAGGGCTGGGACTGCCACAGGGTCACCAAAGGGCAGACACCCCATTTTCCCTGTGGATGCACAGAGCTGGGAACTCCCCCACGTCTCACCTGCCTGGTGAAACCTTCCTCATCCTCCATCCCCACATCCCTGTGTCTCCCTGGAGCTGGGAATCTCACCTGCCTGTTGAAGTCCTCCATCCCCACATCCCTGGAGCTGGAGTCTCACCTGCCTGTTGAAGTCCTCCTCGTTCTCCATCCACATGTACTCAGCGAAGGGGTTGTTCTCCTTCTCATCGTGCCCGTTCACCACCGGGTCCTCCTTGGATTTGGGACTGGATGCCGTGGTGCTGGCGAGCTCGGAGCCATTCATCCTTACGGACTCTGGGGGGGGAAATGTGGGAATGAGGGGGCTGCTGAGGCCCCGTGCCCCCAGATCCACCCCAGCTCCCACAGGGACACTGCCACCGCCTTGCAGCACAGGAGTGCTTGGGTTGGATGATCCTGGAGGGCTTTCCCAACCCTAATGATTCCATAACTTCAGGAATTTCAGATCCTGCTGCTTCCAGGCTGCTTTTGTCCCGGCAGGGTGCAGTTCCCAGCTCCTCCTCTCTCCCTGGCAGCAGCACCACACCCCCCTGGCAGCGGCATTTGGGGGGGATTTATTTTTTTTCAGCATTTATTTTTTGGGATTTTGAGCCACCAAGGATAGTTTGAATGTATTTGTCTGGGCTTAGACCAAGGGGTGATGCCACCAGGAGCTCCTGGAGATGCTGGGAACAAGGTCTGGGAAGGCACTGGCTCCCCAAATCCCATCCCTCCATCCATCCCTCCATCC